TATTCTGGGAAGGTGACAGGTGCTGAGAGAAAGTCAAGCTGGAAAGGGAGGTGGGCCGTGCTGGGAAACGGGAAGTGATATTTCAACTTTAATTATCTTGCCTAATCCTCACAGCAACCCTGTGTGAGAGATATCAGTCCTGTTTCCAGTGAGGGAACAAGCACAGAGAGGCTGACTGACTTCCCTAAGATTGCACAGCACACGGGCAGCAGAGCTGGGAGAAACAGAGGTCTGTCTGACTTCAGAGCATGGGGACTGGAAGTCACTTTCTCCCGTGAGCTTCCTTTTCTCCATCTCCAGGTCACGAGCGTGGGACTGACCCTCTTCTAGTACTGAGGCTCAGTGAGTCTTTCTTTTATTTTTACTTATTTATTTATTTATTTTTTGAGTCAGAGTCTGGCTCTGTTGCCCAGGCTGGAGTGCAGTGGTGTGATCTCGGCTCACTGCAACCTGTGCCTCCTGGGTTCAAGCGATTCTTCTGCCTCTGCCTCCAGAGTAGCTAGGATTATAGGCACCCACCACTGACACCTGGCTAATTTTTGTATTTTTAGTAGAGACGGGGTTTCACCAGGTTGGCAAGGCTGGTCTCGAACTCCTGACCTCAGGTGATCCACCCGCCTCGGCCTCCCAAAGTGCCGGGATTATAGGCGTGAGCCACTGTGCCTGGTCACTTTTTAATTTTTTTGAGACAGAGTCTCACTCCGTCACTCAGGCTGGAGTGCAGTGGTGAATCATAGCTTACTGTAGCATTAACCTCCTGTACTCAAGTGATCCTCCCATCTCAGCCTCCCAAGTAGGTAGGACTGCAGCCACACCACCGTGCCCAGCTAGTTTTATTTTATTTTGTAGAGACAGGGTCTCACTATGTTGCCCAGGCTGATCTTGAACTCCCGGGCTCAAGTGATCCTCTCACCTCAGCCTCCCAAAGTACTGAAATTACAGGCCACCATACCCAGCTTATTTTGTTGTTGTTTTATTTATTAAGCCCCTTCTATTCTACAGGGAGTCTTCTTTGAGTGTAACCTACGAGGTTGGAACTGCCAGGCCAAACCCCATTAGCCACGGAAGAAGGGTCATAGGACCATGGAGGGAAGGGGCTCCCCTCTTTGGGGTATGGGGAGTGGCGACAGATGGTGGCTTTCTAGGTGTGGAAGGCCTCCAGGCTCAAAGAGGGTGCCTATCTGGTCATTGTTTCCATGGGGTGAATTAGGGGTGGGAGATACAGGGTGAAGGCCAGTTAGATGAGCATGGGGACGTCCCTATTCTAACCCGGGAATCTTATTCCTCATTCTTGGCTTTTATGCCTCCCTGCTTTTTATTAGAAAGCCTTTTCTTTTGAGACAGTGTCTCGCTCTGTCGCCTAGGCTAGAGTGCAGTGTGATCTTGGCTCACTGATACCTCTGCCTCTTGGGCTCAAGTGATTCTCCCACCTCAATCTCCCTAGTTGCTGGGACTATAGGCATGCACCACCATGCCTGGCTAATTTTTTGTGTTTTTGATAGAGATGGAGTTTCAGGCTGGTCTCGAACTCCTGGCCTCAAGTGATCCACCCGCCTTGGCCTCCCCAAGTGTTGGGATTACAGGAATAAGCAACTGCATCTGGCCCTGATGTTTTTTGAGTCTATTCAGTTGTCTGGTAGAACACTCCACATTCTAGGGGATAGTGAGTCAGCAGAGGAAGTGGATTGAGAGCCCACTACATATCCAGAGTAAGCCTGGGCACTATGAGGACATCAGGGTTAAGTTGAATCTCTCCTGCCCTGGAGCTCACTGCTGAACTATGTCACCTCCTCCAGGAAGCCCTCTCTGACGCCCTGATCAGTGAGTTGCTCCTTTTTCAGTGCTCTCCCAGCACCTGACACACAGGCGTTCTGCCCCTTCTGTGCTGCACTGTAATTATGTTTGTGTCTCCTGCATGAGGCTGTGATGACCTCTAGGAGAGACCAGGAGTTAGTCACATCTCTACCTGCAGGACCGGGAACTCTGCTGGGGCATGTAGGGTGTGTCCTGCATGAGGGTGCCCAGACAAGGGGGTGCATGGAGACTGGAATTCACTCCGTATTCCACTTGTCAAACCTTGAACCCCGGCACTGGGCTGTGTCTGCCAGCAGGAAGTACCTTTTCTAATTCACTTAAAGGAAATATGGATTGTGGCAGGCCTGCTTTGCACTGTACCAGCATTCAGTTGGCGCTCAATAAAAGCTTGTTGCTTAAGTGCATGATAGAGGGTGGGAAGGGTTAAGGCAGATGAAAGTCTTCAGAAGAGGTGTGCTGGTAACTATTCTTTGGTGGGGGCAGGAGACCTGATTCATAGCATTTGCTGGTTCCCATGGTACCGATACCCCCAGGCTGATTCCAAGCTGCCGAGATAGAAAGAGGTGTGCAGAGTCAGTTCGGACAAGCCCCTCATACTGGACTCCAGCACGCCACTGCGGTTTTACATTTATGATCTTAAAACTGCATCTGAAACAGACTTTGAAGTGGTGGGGGGAGGAGAGAGAGAGAGAGAAAGAGAGAGAATGAGAATGTACTTCTGTTTGAAGTGTGGGGTCTCCTCAGGATGAGAAATTGCTTCATCCAAGTTCTGTGCAGGTCTCCTCGCCCAAGAAGAGGCCGTGGGATCACCCCCTGGAATGAGCCCACGATGCCTAAAGCAGAGGCCTCTAAACACTCCACTCAGCCTGTCTGTGGCTTTGGCCTCAACAGAGAACTCCCAGGGATGTGTCTCCTCCACCTCCTGGGCATGAGCCTGGCTCTTCTGCCCTGATTCCTTCACACACACCGTTTACTGTCTCCAAATCCTACATGTCTCCTGTAGAATCTGCCCACATCCCATCACTGCAGGAAGCTGGCCTGCCTGTCTGAACATCAAGTCCTTCTCATCCCACAACGTTATGGGCCCCAGACTTGTTCCCCCAAGGCAGGCTCAGACCCTATCCCTTCCAGACCGCAGTCTCTCATTTCCTCACCCCAGGGGCGTCACCCGGATGAATCCCCATCCATCAACATCCTTATCAACTGACTGACTGAACTAAGACATTCAGTGACAGATGAATGAATCATGAATTTGACACCTCTTCTTTTTTTTTTTTTTTTTTTTTTTGAGACGGAGTTTCGCTCTTGTTACCCAGGCTGGAGTGCAATGGCACGATCTCGGCTCACCGCAACCTCCGCCTAGTGGGTTCAGGCAATTCTCCTGCCTCAGCCTCCTGAGTAGCTGGGATTACAGGCACGTGCCACCATGCCCAGCTAATTTTTTGTATTTTTAGTAGAGACGGGGTTTCACCATGTTGACCAGGATGGTCTCGATCTCTTGACCTCGTGATCCACCCGCCTCGGCCTCCCAAAGTGCTGGGATTACAGGCTTGAGCCACCGCGCCCGGCCGACACCTCTTCCTTAAGCACCTAATATGTGCTAAGGGACAGACTTAGACACACAGTGATGTCCTCAGCCCGGACAGCTTGGGGCCTGCCTTCGTCTGTTTTGTGCTGCTATAGCGGATACCATAGAATGGGAAGTTTACACAGAACAGAAATTTATTTCCTCACAGTTCTGGAGGCTAGAAAGTTCAAGACTGAGGAGGCAGCATCTGGCGTGGGCCTTCCTGTGGTGTCTTCCCAAGGTGGAAGGCAGAAAGACACAGATAACATGAGGGTCTGAGCCCATTCTTTTACAAGGAATTCATTTTATTATTATTATTATTTTGAGACAGAATCTCACTCTGTCACCCAGGCTGGAGTGCAATGGCACGATCTCGGCTCACTGCAACCTCCGCCCGCGGGTTCAAGCATTTCTCCTGCCTTAGCCTCCCAAGTAGCTGGGATTCTAGGCACCTGCCATCACACCGGCTAATTTTTTTGTATTTTTAGTAGAGACAGGGTTTCACCCTGTTGGCCAGGCTGCTCTCGAACACCTGACCTCAGGTGATCCACCCACTTTGGCCTCCTAAAGTGCTAGGATTGTAGGCGTGAGCCATCATGCCTGGCTGGCACGCACTTTTACAATAATGGCATTCATCCATTCATGAGGATGGTGCCCCCATGACCCAAACACTTTCCAACAGGCCCCACAGCTTAACACCACGTCGTTGGGGATCAAGTTTCCAACACATGAACTTTGAGGAATATGTTTAAACCACAGCAGGGTTGAGACAAGGGGGCACTGAACCCAGCTTGAATGGAGGGGTGACCTCAGGGAAGGCTTCTTGGAGGAGGCAGCCTCTAAGGCGAGGAAGCAAAAGGTATTAACTAGGTAAGGGGGTGAGAGAGTTGTGGAGTTCGGGGGAAAGGGAACAGGGTGGGAGGGAGTCAGGAATTCCAGGAACTGTGGCTGGTTCAGCCGCATTGCCGTGGACTTCAAGGGCACAGGGGTGGAGGGGATGAAGCTGAGGTCGAGTCATGTGGGTCCCTAAGAGCACATAGGGGCGCTACTGATTCCGTGCTGCGTGTGTCGAAGGACCAGAGACATTATGCTGCTGAGAGAAGGCTGGAGGAGAGGTGAGACTGAGAAGGGGAGGAGGTGGCGGTGGAGGGATCCCTGCTGCAGCTGAGATGAATCAATGAGCCGGAAGAGTAGCCGGAGAGAGAGATGGCTCAGGAAGCTGCTTCTGACCCTTCAGATCCTGGAAAACCGTGTAAACCACCCTCCATGTCAAAACACAAGATCAGTTCTGCATGGGGTGAATAGGATATATTCACTAATGGTCAGAGGAGACTTTGATAGTTGAGTAGTAGCCTGAAGAAATGAGGGCATGTGGGTAGCTTGAAGAAGGGCATTCCAGGCAGGGGGAACTTAGAAAGGGCAAAGGCATTGAGCAGAATGGATCAGAGGCCATGAGGTCAAAGGACCCAGTGGGGCACCATCAGGCCGGGCTTTGGCAGCCATGGTGGATTTTCTTCCACAGGTGATGGGAGCCAGGGGAGGGTTTTGAGTCATGAGAGCGTGTGACTGTCCAGCAGCCCAGTGTCCCTCACTCCTCTGTCCCCAGGGCCAATGCACCATGGAGACTGGACAGAGAGGGTCTCGCAAAGTCCGGAAGCTGGGCTCCAGCCGGCGGCGGCAGACAAGGGAGCCAGCCGACGGCGAAGATGCTGCGGTGGCCCCAGAGCCAGAGTCCTGGTCATCTCAGGCAGCGGCAGAACTGCAGGCCTTCTTCCAGGACTGCGGTGCCAAGGAGAGGGGCTTTGTCACCCGCGAGGACCTGGCGGTGAGCCCAAGGCCCCCATTTGAACGCTGAATCCCTGTTCCGCAGCTCCTGAGACCCTCCATCACAGGAAGGCAGGGCATGCCTACCCCTGTCCCTTTCTCCCATTTAGACCTCTCAGAAAACGCTAGGGATTTGTTGATATGAATATTAACAAATGATATTCAATATCATTATTGATATGTCAATAACAGGTAAGGCTTTATGTGTTGCCCTCTTCCAGAAACATTTATCTTTTAACCAGTGACTTTAAGCCAAAGAAGTAATTTGCAAATGGTGTAATTTTAGTCTCATTGAGCAGGGACATTTATTCTGGGCAACAGTCAGAGCCCTGGAAATCAAACCATGTCAATGACTGTAAGCTTCAGTGAAACATGAGATCAGCCATGGTTGTGTGTTCCCATAAAGAGGCTTAGGCTGGCCGGGCGCAGTGGCTCATGTCTGTAATCCCAGCACTTTGGGAGGTCAAGATGGGTGATCACTTGAGGTCAGAAGTTCCAGACCAGCCTGGTCAACATGGTGAAACCCCGTCTCTACTAAAAATACAAAAATTAGGCCGGCATGGTGGTGGGTGTCTGTAATCCCAGCTACTTGGGAGGCTGAAGCACAAAAATTGCTTGAGCCTGGAGAAGCAGAGGTTGTGGTGAGCTGAGATCACGTCACTGCACTCCAGTCTGGGGAAACAGAGTGAGACTCCATCTCAAAAAAAAAGAAAAAAAAATTGATCTTGAACCTTCCAGAAAAAAAAAAAATGAGGGAAGAGGGCACCAGTAAAATATTATGACTGGTTCAAAGAGCATTTCAGAAGCAAGCAATTTGACAGAAAAGTATTAAGATAAGATTACTGAGTTCAATTTTTAAAATGGCTAATGTCTAACAAGCCATACATCTTTCAAGCTATCTGTTCTACTAGAAAAAATGATTTTCATTTCTTCTGGGATTAAAGGCATGCACAACCATGCCCAGCTAATGTTTGTACTTTTTTTTTTTTTTTTTTTGAGACGGAGTTTCGCTCTCTTGTTACCCAGGCTGGAGTGCAATGGCATGATCTCGGCTCACCGCAACCTCCGCCTCCTGGGTTCGGGCAATTCTCCTGCCTCAGCCTCCTGAGTAGCTGGGATTACAGGCATGTGCCACCATGCCCAGCTAATTTTTTTTTTTGTATTTTTAGTAGAGACGGGGTTTCACCATGTTGACCAGGATGGTCTCGATCTCTTGACCTCATGATCCACCCGCCTCGGCTTCCCAAAGTGCTGGGATTACAGGCTTGAGCCACTGCACCCGGCCAATTTTTGTACTTTTAATGGAGATGGGGTTTCACCATGTTGACCAGGCTGGTCTCGAACGCCTGACCTCCTGATCTGCCCCCCTCAGCCTCCCAAAGTACTAGAATTACAGGCGTCAGCCACTGGGCCTGGCTTTTTTATTTTTTTTATTTTTGAGACAGGGTCTTGCTCACTCCCCTAAGCTGGAGTGCAGTGGTGTGATCTTGGCTCATTGCAACCTCCACCTCCTGGGTTCAAGTGATTCTCTTGCCTCAGCCTCTTGAGTAGCTGGGACTACAGGCACGTGCCACCATGCCCAATTGATGTTTTGTATTTTTTATAGAGGCAGGGCTGTGGGTTGCTCCATGTTGCCCAGGCTTAAAAGTATTGGTTTCTGAATCATAAGGGGGTCAATGAGATTCAGATACCACTTGAAATGTTGAATTTCAGTTTACAAAAGTATAATCTGGCAGGGCATAGTGGCTCATGCCTGTAATCTCAGCACTTTAGGAGGCTGAGACAGGCAGATCACCTGAGGTCGGGAGTTCCTGACTAACTTGGCCAACATGGTGAAATTCCGTCTCTACTAAGAACACAAAAATTAGCTAGGCGTGGTGGCATTTGTCTGTAATCCTAGCTACCTGGGAGGCTGAGGCAGGAGAATCGCTTGAACCTGGGAGGCGGAGGTTGCAGTGAGCCAAGATCACGCCACTGCATGCCAGCCTGGGTGACAGAGCGAGACTCTGTCTAGAAAAAAAAAGTATAATCTACTAAACTGAGGGTTAGAGACAGCTCAAGAAGACCAGGAAGAACTTCCTCGCAGATCTATTAAAGTAAAACAATAAAAAATAATATCAACAATACTGCCCACAAAGAGCCATAACTAGATTTCCTTCGGCTGTCCAATCAGTGCCATGTAATTAATGAATGCTCTGCTGGATCTTGGGTAAGCTGTCTGCTTTTGGACTAAAGAGTTGTAGGAATCCTCAGTCTGCTAGCCCAGTCAGGTCATCCAGTGTCAGCTTGGAAGCCTACAGACAAGTGAAGCATAAATAGTTCATAGAACCTGGCACCGTCCTTTTTCTCTGGACTTTGAGTTTGTTCTTCTTTGTTGAAGAAGACCCAAGTGAAGCAAACAAGAACAAACTCAAGGTCTAGGGGAAAAAGGACCGTGCCAGGTTCCATGAACTAGTTACGCTTCATTTGGGTGTGGGCTCTCTGTTATAAGGCCTGCAGCTTGTAACAGAGCTTCAGGGAGGTGTAGGAAAGGAAAAATGTGTCCAGTAACGAGACTGAAAGGCTGTGGTTATTATTACACTACCTAAGAACATCAGGCTGGTTTCAAACTCCTGACCTCAGGTGATCCACCCATCTTGGCCTCCCAGAGTGCTGAGATTACAGGCGTGAGCCACTGTACCCAGCCTATTTATTAATTCTTTTTTTTTTTTTTTTTTTTTTTGAGACGGAGTTTCGCTCTTGTTACCCAGGCTGGAGTGCAATGGCGCGATCTCAGCTCACCGCAACCTCCGCCTCCTGGGTTCAGGCAATTCTCCTGTCTCAGCCTCCTGAGTAGCTGGGATTACAGGCACGCACCACCATGCCCAGCTAATTTTTAGTACTTTTAGTAGAGACAGGGTTTCACCATGTTGACCAGGATGGTCTCGATCTCTTGACCTTGTGATCCACCCGCCTCGGCCTCCCAAAGTGCTGGGATTACAGGCTTGAGCCACCGCGCCCGGCCTATTTATTAATTCTTAAACCCACCAAAACTGGGCCAAATTTGGCAAAATGTTAATACATTGCACAGTTTATTTTCAGACTCAGGTATTATAAGTCAAGGCAGATAAAATTCTCTTTCAGCAAACTCTCTGCAACGTTCTATAGCCATTCAAGTTTTGCCCTTTCATCTTTTTTCCTGTTCTAGAATAACCACTTTCACACAACACTGCATCCCATTTTCCTTGTAGACAAAGTTCTGTTTCTCTGTCACTACTGCTCCTAGTGAAACCTCAAGCATCTGTAGTTAATTGAACTTATGTTGTTGTTGCTGTTGTTTTGAGACAGGGTCTTGCTCTGTTGCCCAGGCTGGAGTGCAGTGGTGCAATCTCGGCTCACTGCCACCTACACCTTCCGGGTTCAAGCAATTCTTGTGCCTCCGCCACGTGATTAGCTGGGATTACAGATGCCCTCCACCACACCAGGAGGATTTTCTTCTATTTTTAGTACAGACGGGGTTTCGCCACGTTGGCCAAGCTGGTCTCGAACTCCTGACCTTAAGTGATCCACCTGCCTAGGCCTTCCAGAGTGCTGGGATTACAGGCTTGAGCCACCATTCCCGGCCTGTATTAATTGCACTTTTAACCAGTGTAATTAACCTCTTTCACTGGAATAACTAAGGGTAAATAATAAGACAGAGAACTGTCTTACACAAGCATGATAGCAGACAAGCAGAGCTCACAAATACACATAACCCAAGGCTTTCTACAGCCTTGCATATCCCTAACACAACTTAAAAAAAAAGTGGTCAAATATACGTTAACAGAACGTTTATCATTTTAACTATTTTAAAATGTACTATTCAGCGGCATTAAGTACATTCACAATGTTGTACAAACATCCATCTCCAAAGCTGCTTTCTTCTTGCCAAGTTGACACTCTGCACCCATTGAATAGTAACTCCCATGCTTCCCTCTCCCCAACCCCTGGCTCTCCCTATTCTACTTTGTGTCTCTACAACTTTGATTACTCTAGATACGTCATAGAAATGGAATCATACAGTGTTTGTCTTTTAGTGATTGGTGTATTCCCTTAGCAGAATGTCCTCAAGGTTTACCTGTATTGTAGCATGTGTCCAAATGTTTTTCTTTTTAAAGATGGAATAATATTCCGTCTTTAAAACAGCAACATGAAAACTCACCAATCCAGATTTCAAAGAGCTGTTCTCCTTCCCAGTGGATATGAATTTTTTTTTTTTTTTTGAGGTGGAGTCTCATTCTGTCTCTCTCAGGCTGGAGCGTAGTGGTGCGATATCTGCTCACCGCAATACTGTACATATACGTCACATTTTGTCTATCCTCTTATCTGCCAGTGAACACCTGGACTGATTGCATCTTTTGGCGACTGTGTATAACGCTGCTATGAATACAGACATGCAGATAGCTGAGTCTCCCCTTTCTTTTGCACAAGTTCTTTTTTTTTTTTTTTTTGAGATGGAGTCTCACTCTGTCGCCCAGGCTGGAGTGCCGTGGCGCGATCTCAGCCTACTGCAACCTCTGCCTCCTAGAATCAAGTGATTTTCTTGCCTCAGCCTCCCAAGTAGAGTAGCTGGGACTACAGGCATGCGCCACCATGCGCGGATAACTTGTATTATTAGTAGAGATGGGGTTTCACCATGTTAGCCAGGCTGGTCTCAAACTCCTGAACTCAGGTGATCCACCCGCCTCAGCCTCCCAAAGTGTTGGGATTACAGGCATGAGCCACCATACCCAGCTTTTTAAAGCAGAAAAAAATGAATCCACTTATTAACATGACCCAAAGATAAAGCCACTTTCTAGCATGTGAAAATAAGAAGTAAAAAATATGTCAACTTAAAATTATGTTTAGCAATCAGTTTCAGCATTAATTTTTCTTAGAAATTATACAGATAGCCAAAAATTATTTATTAATGTACCTCAATATTAATTCCAAATTTTAAAGTTACCTAAGAATCTTAGAAACTGTATTTAAGGTGACACCCTAGAAAATATAATTACTGTTGATACAAAATTTATTTGTTTAAATAATTAGTCAATTTAATGGGGGACAAATTTACAGTTTTGTAATCTTAAACATATGTAAAGATAATGTTGACTTATTTGATCTGAAAGCCAAAATGAGAAGTATAAGAAATCTGGATTAACTAGTTTCTTTACTAAACAAATATAGATCTTATGAAAAACAATGTATTATACTTAACATAAAGCACAGAAAAGACAGATAGCTATTATATGTGTTTTGTCAAAACAATTATTAAACCAGTCTAATTTGTTCAAAGAATCATTTTAATTATATAAACCTGGCTCCTGAAAAATTTTCTGAGCTAGCAATTTCTGTAAGAAGAATTGTTTGAGTTTAACACATTTAAAGCATTCAAATTTCAGTTATTTTCTGTTATTTTTAGGAGCATTAGATTTATAAACTCACTTATTTGTCTCTATAAATGAATCAACACAGAACTCCTTTAAAAGACATAGTACTCTAAGTTATTAATACCTTCCAGATGTACAAGAGTATTTCACACTGACAGTAAAAGTTAAAGACCTTTTGGGCATGATGGCACATGCCTATAATTCCAGCTACTCGGTAGGCAGAGGCAGGAGAATTGCTTGAACCCAGGAGGTAGAGGTTGCAGTGTGCTGAGATAGTGCCACTGTACTCCAGCCTGGGAAACAGTGAGACTCTGTCTCAAAAAAAAAAAAAAAAAAAAAAAAGCATTAAAGGCCTTTCTATTACAGACGTATAAATACACAGACACAGAGAATGTCCGGCTTCGTTTCTACAGTTCCAGCCACAGATGAAAAGTGAACACAGCAGGCTGGGTGTGTTGGCTCATGCCTGTAATCCCAGCACTTTGGAAGGCCGAAGTGGGCAGATCACTTGAGTTCAGGAGTTCGAGACCAGACTGGCCAACATGGTGAAACCCCGTCTCTTCTAAAAATGCAAAAATTAGCCAGGTATGATGGTGTCCACCTGTAACCCCAGCTACTTGGGAGGCTAAGGCAGAAGAATTGCTTGAACTTGGGAGGTGGAGATTGCAGTGAGCCAAGATCGTGTCACTGCACTCTAGCCTGGGTGACAGAGTGAGACTGTCTAAAAAAAAAAAAGAAAAAAAAAAAAAAGTAAACACAACAACCTGAAAACTCACCAGTTCAGATCTCAAAGAGCTGCTCTCCTTCCCTGTGGATATAACATTCTTTTTTTTTTTTGAGATGGAGTCTCATTGTGCAGTGGTGCAATCTCGGCTCACTGCAACCTTCACCTCCTGGGTTCAAGCGATTCCCCTGCTTCAGCCTCCGGAGTAGCTGGGATTACAGGTGCCTACCACCATGCCAGGATAATTTTTATATTATTAGCAGAGATGGGGTTTCACCATGTTGGCCAGGATGGTCTCGAATTCCTGACCTCAAGTGATCCGTTGGCCTCAGCCTCCCAAAGTGCTGGGATTGAAGCAACGACAACAACAACACGATTAGCAGACCAGATTTTCCATTATTTTTCAACCAACAGGCATTAGGTCTCCATTATGCCTCCCCCAGAGGTCACCAAACAGGACATAAAGACCATCACTGGTTTAGACCAGACTATCATTACTACCACCAATGGGGAATAACTTATCAGTCATGTGCAGCCCCAAAAATAAAAACACGAAATTCACAGAAAGGAAAAAAAAGTAACTAGAGAAACAGAGAATCAGCAAACTCAAAGTTCTGTTACACTTGGGATTCCCGCTGAGAGCCAAAGTGTGTGGGCAAAGAGCCCATGGTACTTGTCCAGCCATGCAGATTACTTAGTGCTGCCAATGAGATGAGTCCACTGGGCCATCTCCATAGACCTTAGTCTGAAACTTGCTATACTTTTCAAAGGTGAAATCATGACCTGTGGGCCATGATATAGAAAATGAACTCTTACAAGATTTTATCGGGCCGGGCGCGGTGGCTCACGCCTATAATCCCAGCACTTTGGGAGGCCGAGGCGGGTGGATCACGAGGTCAAGAGATCGAGACCATCTTGGTCAGCAAGGTGAAACCCCGTCTCTACTAAAAATACAAAAATTAGCCGGGCATGGTGGTGCATGCCTGTAATCCCAGCTATTTGGGAGGCTGAGGCAGGAGAATTGCCTGAACCCAGGAGGCGGAGGTTGCGGTGAGCCGAGATTGTGCCATTGCACTCCAGCCTGGGTAACAAGAGCGAAACTCCATCTCAAAAAAAAAAAAAAAAAGATTTTATTTAGCTCATTGATTTTTTTTTCTTTTTGAAACGGTGTCTTCCTCTGCCACCCAGGCTGGAGTGCAATGGCGTGAGCCCAGCTCACTGCAGCCTCTGTCTCCCAGGTTCAAATGATTCTCCTGCCTCAGTCTCCCGAGTAACTGGGACTGCAGGTGCTTGTCACCACATCTGGCTGATTTTTGTATTTTTAGTAGAGACGGGGTTTCACCATGTTGGCCAGGCTGATCTTGAACTCCTCACCTCAGGTAATCCACCTCCCAAAGTGCTGGGATTATAGGCGTGAGCCACCATGCCTGGCCTCACATAATTTCTGGACACTGATCACCACACTCTGGGGAGGATTGGCTGTCCTTTATCCTAAAGACATGGAACTTAGGGCAGATACGTCTTGATTTTGGATGCAGAAAGTGAAAAGGGGTGGAGCCAGTTCAGGGCTCTGCTGGGAGGAGTGCCTTGGATGGGGTTGGGAACATCAAGCTTAGGCCCTGGGTCAGGTTATTGGGTGTGGGGGGGACTCTGAAATTGGGGAGAGGTGAGGTGGGGGTGGCTGAAGACAAACACCTCTCTTTTTTGGAGGGTCAGAACCTTCCTTGGTGGAAACACCTGCTCAACTTTCCCATTCCTTCCAGGTGGCCAAGTTCAGCTTCCTGGGTGGTGAGGAGCCAGAGATGATCTTCGACTGGGTGGATGTGGAGCAGAAGGGACGCCTGTCCCTGGAAGAATTCAGCTCTGGACTCAGTATGCCTGTCCTTGGAGGGCCTCTGGGCACCCAGGTGTCCTGTGCAGTGTGCCCTGCACGGGGCTAGGCTGGGTCATCAGAAAGGCAACCCTTTCCCCAGGGACTTTCACCTCTATCCCCTGCTGCCAGAGTGGTCCGGGCCCTCCCCTGTGCATCCTCCTCCAGAGAGGCCTCCAGGCTTGCCTTCTGACTCCTCCCATGGCTTCTCCCCAGTAAAAGGCTTCTCCTGAGCCAGAGGTCTTGAAACCACAGATGTGTTTCTGCCCTGAGGAGAGCTACATTGTGGCTTTGGTTAAGGGAATTCCATGGGCCAGGGAGCAGCAGAGAGTGATATTTAGGGGTGGGCGCTTTCCAGGTGCTGAGTCCCTACTGAGCAGGGCCACCCCAGTGCCTGCCTCTCTAGATGGGCTGACAAGACTTAGGACCAGCAGGGCGCAATCCTTTCTTGAATCCTCTCCCTGGGAAGACCTTCTGGCCCAGGCCATAGAAGGCGTGGTGTCCTCTCAGAGCCTCTGCAAGACACAGCTCAGCCTTCAGTGTCCACAAAGCCACCTAGAGTTCTGAGGTCAGCTGAGTCTCCAAAAGCTTGGAGGCCGGCAGAGAAGGAGGCCAGGAGTCTGCACTTATGGGTGGGGCCACTCCGGGAGGCAGCTGCTCCAGTTCTGGCAATGGAGAAGCTGCGAGTGGGGAGGAGAACTCAGAGGCCGGGCAGGAGGAACTGCCGGTGGGGTGCAGAGGGAGCACTGCTGTCCACGCAGCCTTGGGGCCATCTTCATTCCCAAACTGAGTCATGTCCACCATGCCGACAACTTCCTAGTGCCAGTGGGACAAACTGGAACCCCCTTCCTGGGGCCTGCGGGGTCTGCACCGTCCAGCCGCTGCCAGCCTCTTTAACTCACTCGGTGCCGTTGACCCGTCCACCTTGCTGGCCCAGCTCCTGCCGCACGGCCCCTGCAGTGCTGTTCTCTTTGCGGGCACACACATCTCTGGGGTCCACGTGGTTTGCTCCTTCTTGTTGTTCCCATCTCAGTTCCAGTGTCACCTCCTTAGGATACTCCTAGCCACCTCATCCTAGTCGATCCTCCCAGTCTCTCAGTGGAAATTACCCTGAGTTTTCCTTTGGTTCACTTAGCAAATTGGCTTTTTTTTAAAAAAAGTATTCTTTTCAACCGGCACTAGAATGTCAGCTCCAGGTTAGGGATTTTGGCTAATTTTGTCATAGTAGATATCCAAAAGATATCCCTTGACTAAATGCATGAAGAATCCATTCAATGCCATGGAGGTGCTGCATAATTTCTAGCAAGTCTTTAGGTGTCTCTGGGCCTCAGGCACTCATCTGTAAAATGGGGACCTTAAGTAGACTCAAGTTTGATTTGAGAAATATATGAATGCAGCCCTGTAGAGATGTGACTGGCACAGGGAGAATTACTTCTCCAAGGGCTGGAGCAGGGCTGGGTGGGAGGTCAGGCGCCTGGGCCCAGCACCGCTTTCTTCCCCTCTGTCCGCCTCTGTCCCACAGAAAACATCGTTGGCTCCAGCCAGAGCGCCCAGAGGCTCCGCAGAAGGAAGCCACTGCCTTCTAAGCGGGTATCTGCTACCACCAGCTTCCCAGCACTGGAGGAGGCCGACGAGGAGGAGAAGGAGGCGTTCCTTGCCTTCATGGAGCAGCTGGGGACTGGACACTTACTTCCCAAGTAAGGCCAGGGCAGCATGTGCAGAGGGACAGGCTCTGCCAGCCATTGATGGCGGGGGTTCTCCTGGACACAGTGCCAAGGGGTCAGGCGCTGGGTAGAGCCAGGTGCAAATCCCGGCTCGGCCATTGGCTAGCTGTGTGACCACACGGCTGGCTTGACTTCTGACCTCTGTTTCCTGGGCTGTGGAATGAGCCTAAAAAGCTGTTGTGGGATTAAAACCACGGGCAGAGGATGCCTGCTCACGGGGAGTCCTTCCCAGCCCCGCACCTCCCTGCTCTGTCCTGCCTTGGGTCACTCACCAGCAGGACTAGCAAGTGGGCATTCAGCCTCTCAAGGGTACTTGAATTCTTAAAACCACGGGAATTCCAGTGGCATCTGATTGAATTTCCTCGGCTCCTTCTATAGCTGGGCCTGTGAGCTAGGCATGGGAGTCCCTGAGGGTGCCTTTCTTAACTCAAAGTGAGGTTCCCTGGAGTTGGGGGGGATTTCAGGCATGGTGCATGCCCTGGGTTGAACAGGTTTGGAGACAGGAGCGCGTGTTCTCCCATTCATCTCAGGCTCTGGGTGTAAGGCGTTTGGCTTTGCTTAGAGAAGGGGAGCACAGGCCAGCACAGTGGCTCACGCCTGTAATCTCAGCACTTTGGGAGGCCGAGGCGGGCGGATCACCTGAGGTCAGGCCTTTGAGACCAGCCTGGCCAACATGGTGAAACTCCATCTCTACTAAAAATGTAAAAACTAGCCAGGCATGGTGGCACGTGCCTGTAATCCCAGCTACTCGGGAGGCTGAGGCAGGAGCTTGAACCCAGGAGGTGGAGGTTTCAGTGAGCCGAGATGGTGCCACTGCACTCCAGCCTAGGCAACAGAGCGAGATTCTGTCTCAAAAAAAAAAGAGAAGGAGAGAAGTGTCCCCTCCTCAGACCCCCAGGGTCTGTTACAATCATGGAGGGAGTCGCCCTCACCTACTGGCCCAGGTTTGCTCACCCCGCCTGCAGGGTTCTGTGAGGACACGACTCCTCACACTTGGCTCCCGGAGGGTGGGGCCAGGTGCTGTGAGGCAGGCAGGGTGGGACTTCAGGTGTAGACTGGTGGGGCAAGGGGGTGGGGAGCCTTTTACTCACTTGGCAGCTTGGCCTAGGCTCAGCCCCTGGCATCCATCCTCACGACTTAATTAGACCCACGTGAAAGCAGTTTTTTTCGGGCGCCAACCGTGTGGCAGGCCCCGAGCTGGTACGTTCATCAGGCGTCTCATTCCCCAGTGATTGCGTGGCAGGTATCAGCCCCTCCTCCCCATTTTACAAATGAGCCCAGAGAGGGCTTGGGACTTGCTGAAGGTCACACAGCCTCAGAGCAGGAGAAGAGAGAGGTCAGGTGGAAGCCTTGGGCCATGACGATCCCAAATCCCCCCATCCCACTGTTACAGAGTCGTAGAGAGACAAAGTGTGGCAGGGGTTTAAGAAGGGAGAGGGCACATCTGGGAACGGTTCCTGGAGGAGGTGGCATTTGAGTTGTATCTTGTAGGGTGTCAATAGGTTTGGCCCAGGTGCCAAAGTCTCTCGAAGCCACTGCCATGAAAACTGAGGAGTGGGGCTCCCCTTGCTTCTCTTCCCACCTCGTGTCCACCCCTCCCATCTCTGGCTATCCTTCCCTCCCCAGGCAGACGGAAATCTGGCAGCTGTGGGGGAAGCTGCGGCAGGAGGAGCCCCAGCTGGCAGGCAACCTGGCGGGCTTTATGGCCAAGATGACCAGCTGCCTGCAGGAGGCCCAGGCAGAGAAAGAGGCCCTGGAGCTGACCCTGAGGAAGTGAGTGGGGACCCCAGCCAGGTGTCTGACTCCAAGTAGGTGCTCTTCACATCTTGTGGAATCTGATTGAATTTCCCGGCTCCTTCCACAGCTGGGTCTGTGAGCTGATAGGGCAGAGCTGCACTGGAGGAAGAGGTGGCTCAGGGGGCCTGGAGGGTGGGGGACAGAGTTGGGAAAGGCGGGAGTAGGAATGGCAGGTGTGTCTTGGTACAGGACCCACTATGACGCCCAACTCCAGGGGTCCTGCGCCCGTAGATTGCAATGCATGTAGTGACCCTGGAGTCGGGTTATAGGGGCAGGAGGATGGTGACAGAGGGAGGTGGGGACTGAGTGATGGGGTGTTGGGGACCATGCGACAGGGCCAGGGGAACTGGTGATGGTTACAGGGTCGGCATGGTGGGATCAGCAGGACTGATGTCAGTCATATGGGTCAGGGGTTGTTCTCAGGGTGGCAGGGGTCAGTGGCTGCTGGCAGAGTGAGGCGGGCATTAGGATGGATCGAAACCCAAGCCCAGACCGCCCCTGCCAGCAGCAGCTCCCAGAGGGGCTGATGGGCTGCCCGGCCCCACCTCCTGGTCCTCCCAGGCGAGACTCTGACCACCACCGCGAGGTGCAGCAGCTCTATGAGGAGATGGAGCAGCAGATCCAGCAGGAGAAGCAGCAGCTGCAGGCTGAGGTGGGCTCCCGCTGGCAGCTTCCCTCCTTCCCACTGCCTGGGATGCCTCTGCCGGCTAAGTAGTGGAGCCAGTGACTGGTCAGGGTGGGGCGCAGGAGGCTGCTGGAGTGAGCCCTCTCCCTGCCCTGAGCGGCTTGTGTTCCCCAGAGAGATGGGGTGGGGAGTGTTGAGCCTGGGCCCCTTCCCATCCCTGCCAAGTCTCCTTGTTGCCACAGTCTAAGCTGGAATTGGGGGAGTTGTCTGGAGAAGCCTCCCTGCTGGGACACCCTGGCCCAGGCAGCCCAGATGGTGGAGGTGGAGTGAGTGGAAGAAGGGCTGGCCCGGCCGGCTCTTAGCGTCTGCAGGGTGAGGGCTGAATCTGCCTATTCCGCAGAGCGACTCTCGGGGTCTGGCCTTCACCTCCCAGATGCAGGACATCCTAGAGGCCAAGGAGCGAGAGGTGCAGCGACTAGCTGAGGGCCAGAGGGAGGTGAGTGACAGGGTTTCCCGGAAGCCCACTTCCAAACAGGTTTTTAATATTTATGAGCCTCAGTTTCCTATCGGAGACGTGGAAATCAGAACTCCAGCCTTAGAAGGTACTGTGATGATTAGAAGTACTACATGTGAGGATCTGAGACAGTACCTGGCACATAGTAGGTGCTTTATGCATCAGTCGTTCCAGCTCTGAAACAGATCTAGCTTCCTGCTTAGGGTCCGGTGACCTGCTGCCTCGACACTGCAGGTCTTGTAGGCTGTAGTCACTTCCAGGTGGCACTGTGGTTGAGTGTTTGGGTCTAAAACCCTGCCCCCACTGTCTCTTTCTTCCTCAACTTGAAGACCACTGCCCTTGCTAAAATTGCCCTCTGCTGTAACCAGGACAGCAAGCATCCCTTCAACCTGGGACAAGCGTCCTCGAGCCTTCCCCACCACGGCCTGGGCTGGCCCTGTCACCAGCTTGATTTCCCAGGTGCCTCTGCAGCTGCTCCTTGGAAATCGAGGCAGGCCCCTCCTGCCAAGAGAAGAGATTGGGCTTTACATGTGAGGCCATCTCGTCCCCTGTGGCCGTGAAGCCCCACCCCTCCAACCATTCATTCCTTCACCCCACAGCTACTTATCCAGCACCTACCAGGTGCCAGGCACCGTTCCAGGTTCTCAGGCTCATGATCGACACATACCTCTGCCCACAGAGTTACCATCCCATCAGGGAGACAGGTGACATACATAGCCTATGAGATGGTGAGCAGTGCTAAGGAGAATAAAGTAAAACAGGGCAAGGGAAGAGAATCGTAGTCGAAGTAAGTGGAGAAAAGAGTCAAGGAAGGCTGGGCTGCGGTGACGCCATTGGAGTGAAGACCTGAAGAGGTGTGACGTGTTGGGGAAGGGCAGCCACTGAAGAGGCGTGATATGTGAGGGAAGGGCATCCAGGCAGAGGGAACAGCAGGTGCGAAGGCCCTGAGCAGGTGTGCTCTGTGGAAGTTCAAGGAACAGTAAGCAAACCTGTGGCCTGGAAGAGACTGAGAGGGGACAGCCGCAGGAGAGGAGGTGAGATCATGAACGGAGGTGAGGAGGCTTCCGGGAGACTGTGCAGGGTCCTGGAGGCCATTGCGAGAGTTTTGCCTTTCCCTGCACCTGGCCAGGCAGTGCTCCCTTTCTGGGTCATGGGATTTGCTGTTGGATCAGACGGGCTCAGGGCCTCTGCGGCCCTGGTGGTTTATGTTTCTCACACAGTCTCCCTGCCCTCTGTGCCCCAGCATTTCCAGTGCCCCTCCTGGGCAGGAGCTAATGGAGCTAGTTAGGCCAAGGAGGGGTAACCGCCCACTCCTACTCTAATTTAAGCTGGGTCTCCAGGAGCCTGGACAGGAGGTGGGGGGTCTGGGTCCCGCAATGGCCTTGGGAGGCTTTTTGCTGCCCTGGGGGCATCTGGGCTTCTCTCTGCTTCACCCTCTTGCCATGCAGCTGGAGGCCCAGCTCTCCCACCTCAGGAGCACACATCAGGAGGCTGCCTCAGAGAACCAGCAGCTGCGGGAGGCCAAGCGTGACCTGGCTGGGAGGCTGGAGGAGGTGCGGGGGCAGCTGCAGGTGACCAAGGGGCGCCTTGACACCGCCAGAGGCCGGGTGTCCTGGCAGATGGAGGAGAAACTGAGGCAAGCGGCTGTCTCCCTGGACTGGGGTGGACTCCAGGGGCTTCCTGGAACCAGCGGGGAACTCTGAGTTCTCTAAGGCTCTAGCTAGTGCACAGTGCACACACAGCCTCTTTCCTTAAGCCCCACACTCTGCAAAACTGGAACTATCATGCCCATTTCTCAGAGGAGGAAACTGGGGCACAAAGAAAGGGAAACACTTGTGCTCAAGACCACATGGCTGGAATTAAAACATGCATGTGTGTGCGTGTATATGTACACACACACACACACACACACACACACACACACACACACACACTCACTCCTAGCAGGCACTCCCTCTACCTGTAGCTCGGAGAAGTGGGATGGGCCAGAATGATCAAGGAAGGCTTCTTGGAGGAGGTGAGCCCTCATGTGGGCCTTGAGCATGGGCAAGATTGGATGAGGGGTGGAGTGGGGAGCACAGGCCAGGTGAGAAGGACTGCCTGAGCAAGGACCGGGAGGAGGCCTAGCCATGCGGGGAGCAAGGGATGCTGAGGGATGCCGGTGGGATAGGTGTGACACCACCTACCTGTCCCTCCCCTGATCTTTGCTTCCCTGCTTCCTTTTCAGTGTTCCTGGAGCAGGTGAAAAGGCCCCAGACCCTCAAGCTGTCTCCCCTGAGGAGGGCCCCCTGCCTGGGCTGTTTGGGGACAACGATGACTGGGACCAGCTCCTGAGCAGCTTTGGCAGCCCTCCGCATGGAGCCCTGCAGCTCTGCTGGAGCCCACCCCCGAGCCCGAGAGCCGCCCCGGGCCCCGAGACACCCCGCGTGGTCAGGCAGATCTCCATCTCGGGGCCGCACACTCTGCTGTTTGGTCAGGAGCCACCTTCAGATCCAGATAGGGGTCCAAGGACCCCTCCTGGGGTGCCTTTCAGTGCCAAGGACAGTGAAGGAATGGACCCAGATGAGCAGGACAATCGGGTTCCAAGGACCCCCCCTGGGGTGCCTTTCAGTGCCAAGGACAGTAAAGAAATGGACCCAGATGAGCAGGACGACAGGGTTCAAAGGACTCCCCCTGGGGTGCCTTTCAGTGCCAAGGATAGTAAAGGAATGGACCCAGATGAGCAGGACGATAGGGTTCCAAGGACTCCCCCTGGGGTGCCTTTCAGTGCCAAGGACAGTGAAGGAATGGACCCAGATGACCAGGACAATAGGGTTCCAAGGCCCCCCCCCGGGGTGCCTTTCAGCGCCAAGGGCAGTAAAGAAATGGACCCAGATGAGCAGGATATTAGGGTTCCAAGAACCCCCCCTGGGGTGCCTTTCAGTGCCAAGGACAGTGAAGGGATGGACCCAGATGAGCAGGACAATAGGGTTCCAAGAACCCCCCCTGGGGTGCCTTTCAGCGCCAAGGACAGTAAAGGAATGGACCTAGATGAGCAGGATGACAGGGTTCAAAGGACCCCCCCTGGGGTGCCTTTCAGCACCAAGGACAGTAAAGGAATGGACCCAGATGAGCAGGACGTTACCACAGAGCAGCCTGTTGAGACTCAGGACCAGGACGCCAACCAGGAGTCGGGGTCCAGACCTGAGGGCCGCCTCCTCTGGGGTCTCCCGGGACCCCCAGGTGGGGAGTCGGGAAGCCGGGTGGCAGCTGCATTCAAAGTGCTCATTCCATTGGAGGATGGGCTCCCTCCCCAAGTGAACGCTCCCCCTCCTCAGGGCCCAGCTGGGTCCAGCAAACAGATCCAGGCCTCAGACTCAGATAACAAGGGCCCTGGGTCTTGGGCTCCTCCCAGCGGGGCTCAGCCTGGGGCTGGAGCAGGACCCCAGGAACCCACACAGACCCCTCCCACCATGACTGAGCGGGAAACCCAGCCTGGACCCTCACCCACAACTGCCCTCGAAGGAGTGGGCCCAGGCAAGCCGCCTAGGCAAAGAGAGGCCCTCCAGCAAGACCGGCGTGCCACTGGCTCTGGGCTAGGATTGGGGTTCCAGAGGGCCAGAGCCCTTAGCCTGGGGCCAGCTGAGCCCTTCCAGGGCCTGGCATCTGTGGGTCCGGTGCCCACAGAGAGGCTGGAGCAGGGCCAGGCAGGCCCAGCGGTGCAGGACGGCCTTCCTGAGGGGCTCAGAGAAGCTCGTGGCTGGGTTCTTGGGCTGGGTGAGCTGCCTTCTCTCCCCCACCGGGGGCTGGAAGAGGAACCCAGGGCTGAGGAAGGAGAACAGGTGGACCGAGGTGGGCAGGACCTCAGTTCAGAGCAGTTGGTTGAGGCTCACCGCCTGGAAACTGCGCGTTTGGAACACCCTCAGCAAGAGTCTCTGCTTGTTTCTCTCCCGTCTGCCACACCCCAGGCTCGGGCAGACGCTGAAGCCCCTGCTCCTGGAAAACCAGCACCTCCTCCCGTCAGGGCTCAGCCTGGGGCAGGACCCCAGGAAGCCACGCACACCCCTCCCACCGTGGCCGAGCCGGAAGCCCAACCCAGGCCACCGCTCATGACCACTCACACAGAAGAACAAGGCCTCCCTCACTCCAGGGAGCCGAGGGCAGAAAGCATGCTTGAAGATCCAGGAACAGACTCCAGGGGGGCTGGGCTGACCCCGCCCCCAGGTGACCCCATGGCCGGAAGGCCCCAGGCCAACCCTGATTACCTCTTCCATGTCATCTTCCTGGGAGACTCCAATGTGGGCAAAACGTCGTTTCTGCACCTGCTGCACCAGAACTCCTTTGCCACCGGATTGACAGCTACCGTGGGTAAGGATGCTGGGGAGCAGGGCAGGGAGCGAGGGGAGACGCAGGGGCCAGGGCCAACGAGTGGGAGCAGGCCCAGACCAAGCCAGCCCTGAGGAAGCTGCAGGTTCTACCCTGGCCTCGGGCCCTGCATTAGACATTGTTTTATATGGGCATAATCTTACTATTTCACTAATCGTCTCTAATTATAGGTAATTTGCTTTTTCTGCATTGATCTGATTAGCTTATAATGTGCTACATCAACAAAGCACCCTGCAATTTGGGTGCCTGCTAAGTTGATGGTGAAAACCAGCAAGTCTCCACTCATGTGGCTGGTGGGCAGGCCAGAGCAGGGTCTGTGCTGGCTGGATTTGCTCATGACTAGCTCCAGGCTGGGCAGCCGTGGTCTGCCAGGAAGTCACATTGGGCACGCTGGATATTTTACACAGAATGTATTTGTCGAGTGTGGTAAATTAGGAAGCCAGCTGTCTGAGTTCAACTCCTAGCCCTGCCACTTATTAGGGGTCTGAATTTGGGCAGATGACGTCACCCTTCTCAGCTCCCAGATCCTCATCTGCACAGTGGGAACAACAGAAATGCTGCCTTCCTAAAGTAGGTGAAGGATTAGTTGAGTTAACGTGTCAAGATCTTGGAAAAACAACTGACACGTAGTGAGTACTCAGTAAGTATTAGTTATTACAATTATTATTATAAGTAAATATTTGATCATGTCTAACTCAGTGGCTTCTGCAAGAAATGGCAGAAAGCAGAGAGCTTCCCTCCCTGAAAGAATCAGGATATGCACCCACTGAACCTCGTACAGAATTACAGAAAAGCAAACCCGAGGGAATGGAGGGACACCCACCTAGGGACAAAGGTGGAGTCACGCCTATCTTTGTGTTAGAGCAGGGCACGTGCCGACTGAGGGTCAGTGCCAGGCCAGTCGGTAATTGACAGCCCCCCCAACAAGAGAGGCCCGAGACAGGTCCTCAGACTGTTCTTACCCAAGAATCCTTACCTGGGGAGCTAGTTAGAAATGCACTTCGCCCAGGAAGAAGAAACCTACAGCAGGGTGGCCTGACGTTGAGGGGGCTCACAGGCTCTACAAGCCTACCATTATTTTACTTGTTTATTTATTTTTCGAGAGAGAATCTCACTCTGTCACCCAGGCTGGAATGCTGTGGCACGATCTCAGCTCACTGCAACCTCTGCTTTCTGGGGTCAAGTGATTCTCCGGACTCAGCCTCCCGAATAGCTGACACTACAGGCATGCGCCCTTTCACCTGGCTTATTTTTGTATTTTTAGTAGAGATGAACTTTCACCATGTTGCCCAGGCTGGTCTGGAACTCCTGACCTCAGGTGATCTGCTCGCCTCGGCCTCCCAAAGTGCTGGGATTGCAGGTGTGAGCCGCCGCACCCGGCCAAGGCTACCATTGTTAATCACCTAAGCCGCTGTTTCCTGACCGCCTGGCATGCACCAGGCATCTTCCATACATGTCTTATTCCTTACAACAGCCCGCCTTAGAATGGAGCCTCCCCCTTCATTATGTGGTAAGAAGTTCCCACAAAATTCAATCCAGAAAAACACAAGCTGCACCATTGTGAAAAAACAAACAACAAACAAACAAACAAAGCAAGCCCGCACACACTGCCAGCCTGCTGGGAGCCAAGCGCTTGGTCTGCATCTGTCCCAATCCCAGCTGCGGTTTGCTGCCCCCTGCTGGCTGTCGTCTATTCTGGTTTAAATACCGCAGGAAACGATGCTGGCTTCATGAGTCCCTATTTCCCCACCGAACATCACCTTCCCTCCTTCCCGTCCCGCTTTTGCACAAATAAGAACTCTACCCTGCCTGCATTTGAGGAGAGGACCAGATAGAGAATCAGAGCCAATGAAGTTATATTTGAATGTGCATTTTCCATACCAATCCCCGTTTTACAGATGAGGAAAGCAGGGAATTGGAGACTTTAAAAGCCCTGCCCCCACACCAGAAGTTGTATCCTTTTTTCAGTTTAGAATTGCCGGCTCCCTGGGGCTGCTCACCTGAAACAGCACTTTAATCCTCCAGCCACCCTGCAGTGTGGCTTTTTCTAATCTTCTGCTTTGCAGACTAGGAGAGAGAGAGGCTCAGAGAGGTGAGGTGACGTGCCCAGCGCAGCGGTGGCCTGAAGCCAGCGCTCCTTCTGCCCCTCTGGGTTGCTTGTCTCCCCTGCTGTCTGGTTGACAGGGGAAGGTGCATGCAATAATCGCGGAATGGAACAAATAATTTGGGCATGGAAAAAACGAAATAATGAAAATTGTATTCTGGGAGGCCTGAGGAGTGCACGTCGCAGACAAGGTGCCTCGTGTTGGCACAGCCCGCCAGTGTGGCAGGGAGGTCTGGGAAGGCTTTTTGGAGGAAGTGTGTCCTCGAGGACGAATGGGACGCAGAGCTGAGGGAAAGCCTACAGCCAAGGGCCCCGTCGCACTGCAGCGGGCACAGGGGACAGGTGTACACGGGGGCAGGCCTCGGCTAAAGTCCTTGATGGCAACTTAATAAGCTTCACCCCTCTTTATGCGTCCTAGGAGTTGATTTTCGGGTCAAAACCCTGCTGGTGGACAACAAGTGCTTTTTGCTACAGCTCTGGGACACGGCTGGCCAAGAGAGGTAACGGGCACTGTCTATATCAGTGGCGGCAGGAACCTAGGCTGAGCACAGGGGTGCAGAGGGACTGAGAGTAGCCCCAATGACACGGGCAAGAGGCACCCACGTACAGATGAAGTGGCTGCCCCCAGAGGATTCAGGAGGTCCGGGAAGGAGAGATGAGTCAAGCCCAAGGCGGGGGAGAGAGGGCAGCAGAGCCAGCCAGCGGTCCCTCAGCCTGGCAGGGCTGATATTAGGGCTGTCCCAACGTGGTCATTAGGGGACAGCTACCCAATCATCTGTCCTTCTGAAAATGCTGCCTTTCTGCTTTCAGCCTAAGCAGTAGTGATCAAAACTTAAAAGGCATCTTTTATTTGATTCTGCAATTCCATTTCTAGAAATTCATTCTATAGATAGACTCATACATGACTATAATGACAAAGGGACCAGGACCATTTATAATGTCATCGCTTGTGCTATAAAACGTAGGAAACAAGCTAAGTGTCCATCAATAGGGAACCAGTTAAATAAAGTAGGGCCGATCCACTCCACAGAACACTATAAAGCCATAAAAAGACTGAGGACTCTATGTTACCGATAGGAATTTTTTATTTTTTTAGACAGAGTCTTGCTCTGTCACCCAGGCTGGAGTGTAGTGGTGCGATCTCAGCTCACTGCAACCTCTTCCTCCAGGACTTAAGTGATTCTTGTGCCTCAGCTTCCTGAGTAGCTGGGACTATAGACACACACCACCAAATTCCAGCTAATTTTTATATTTTTAGTAGACAGCGGGTTTCCATGTTGGCCAGGCTGGTCTGGAACTTCTGACCTCAAACGATCACCTGCCTTGGCCTCCCAAAGGTCTGGAATTACAGGCTTGAGCCACCGCGCCCAGCCTGATACAGAAATTTCTCCAAGACATCCTGTTAACTGGAAAAAAACCATGTGCAGAACACTGAATATTAATGGGTCTGATGAGTGTTTTACATTGTACTTATATAGAATAGAGGGGGAAAGACGTATGTGTATGGGAGTATATATGTGTGTGTGCATATATATGTACATAAAATATCTCTGGAAAAGTAATTAAGAAACTGATAACCTGGTTGCCTCTGGGGAGGGGACCTTGGTGGCTCCAGGATGGGGCAGAGGGAAGGAGACTTTTCACCGAGTTCTCCTCGAGACCTTTTGAAATTTGAGCCGTGAGAACTGTTACCTAGTCAACAATAACTGCACTGTGGGAAGGAAGGCACACGGACTCGCTCTGTGGGAAGAATTAGAAGTAGGTAGGTTACTTCTCCCAGTTTGCAGAGGCCAGGGCCTGGGGTTGGGATGCCTGGCGTGGCCTCATGCAGACTCTCTGGGCAGGTACCACAGCATGACACGGCAGCTGCTCCGCAAGGCTGACGGGGTGGTGCTCATGTACGACGTCACCTCCCAGGAGAGCTTTGCCCACGTGCGCTACTGGCTAGACTGTCTTCAGGTGAGCAGATGGCTGCTGGGGTTGGCCCCAGTCCCCCCAGTCAAGAGGGACCTTCTATCCTGCCCGCTTCCTCTTGTTTCCCAGGACTACAAGTGACATGACAGACATATGGTTGACACCACTCGCCAAAGGCATGTGGTTGGATGGGCTGGGAATGCCGTAGTACAAAGAAACCACAACCACAGGGTACAGCCTTACAAACCAAACGACTTCCTTTATCCTGTGCACATTCTCTTCCTACATCCGGCAGCTCTGTGTGTAATGTCTTCTTCTCACACTTGAGGCTAATGTTGTTCTAGGACCATTCCAGGTGATAATTTCTCTGTCCACACATCTCTAGTTTGTCCCCTGCATCCGTCCTCGAAGTGTGTATACTGCAGTCCCTCAGTGTGTGCTAGCACCCCAGAGGGCTGGGAAGCTAGCCATGCTGTCTTTTCTCTGGATGTTTCTAGTTTAGCAAAAGAAGCAGGATAAGGTAACGTGTGAGGAGGGGAGCTGAGCACTGGGGTCTGACAGGACCTAGATTTGAATCCCACCCACCCCGACTCTGTAACTTTGGACACGTGAATTGACTTCAGTTTCCTGACTTCTCTCATAGGGGAGTTGTGAGGATGAACTGATACCCTTGCTTTCAGCACAGCACCTGGGGTAGAGCAATCACTCATTAATCAGAAACTATTATTAGTATTCCTGCAATGATTGGGAAAATGTGCCAGGGCAGCCTGTACAATCAAGCACTAGACTTTCAGCACAGGCAGGAAGAGAAGACATGGGCAGGAACAGTCCAGGAAGGCTTCCTGGGGGAGGTGTTCTTAAGGTTGGCCTTGGAAAATAGGTGAGATGTTTACTGGCAGAGAGGCAGGATGGGGGAAAGGGTCCAGGTGAGAAGGCTATGGAGTAGATGTGGCCTGAGAGGGGAAACATGAGAGGGGCACATTTCTGCTTCTAGGAGGGCAAGGGTGCCCAGGGCCTGGCATGCAGCAGGTGTGGCTGAGAGACATGTTCTGTGTGCAGGATGCAGGGGCTGATGGGGTGACCATCCTTCTCCTGGGAAACAAGATGGACTGTGAGGAGGAACGGCGAGTGCCCACTGAAGCCGGGCAGCAGCTGGCCCAGGTAGGCACTTGGGTATCAGCCCGTCTCCCTGCGTGGGCGGGGCAGACACCTCCGTGGCAGGAAGTGGGTAGGCATCACCCGACCTGGGCAGCTGAGAAGGACCCATTGCCCATTCCTGCCCCTGCCCCAGCCAAAGGCCCATTCGGAGTGGACAGCAGCCTGGCCGCCTCTGCCTCCCACACAGCCCCGGCCTCTGGAGACCAGCCTTCAGCCCACCCTCCCGAGGCTGCAGGGGTAGGCGTGACCCGGAACCCCACTGTTGAATTAGCACATCCCCACACCATGTCCCCACCTACAGAAGAAATTGCTTCAGAGTAAAAAGGTTTTAAAAGCTTGGCTTAAAATTCCCAATCAAATTTTAATTTTATCTCTGGTCTCTAATTAACGGGCTGCCTTCTAAGTTCTCCTATTTTAAGACTCAAATTCTCCCTTGGGATGATTACATCAAAAGCCCCACTGCCAGACAGTGAATCCTATTTATTCATGAATAGCATTTAACCACATTCCAGAAAATCTGGAGAGTAATAAATAGGGAAAAAATCACTCCTCACCCCACCTCTCACGCCGTCCCTCCTGCCATTTCCATACTGTTTCTCTTCCCATTTCTCATAAATCATGACGTCATCGTTGTGGCTTTGCTTGAAGGAAATTTTTTTTTTTTTGAGGTAGAGTCTTGGTCTGTTGCTCAGGCTGGAGTGCAGTGGCGCAATCTCGGCTCACTGCAACTCCACCACCCGGATTCAAGAGATTCTCCCACCTCAGCCTCCTAAGTAGCTGGGATTACAGGCACAAGCCACCATGCCTGGCTAATTTTTTTATTTTTAGTAAAGAAGGGGTTTCGACATGTTGCCCAGGCTGGTCTGGAACTCCTGACCTTAAGTGATCCGCCTGCCTCGGCCTCCCAAAGTGCTGGGATTACAGGAGTGAGCCACCACGCCCAGCCTTTTTCTTAAAAGTAATAACTTATCCCTTTGAATAGTAATTCCTCCTCTAGCAATTTATCCTAAGTGAAGACTCAGAAGTAATAATCCCTCAAGGAACACCTAATGAATACCCATGTATAACGTGTAATCGAACTCGTTTATATGAGGGCTTTCAAACGTTACAAGAACAAACACTTGGTAGTAATTGGTGGTTAAATTGTGGACATTGATAGGAGAGGTTAGTATTTGCCATTCAGAATCCTGTCTTGGAAAAATATTTAAGGGCGCGGGGGAAATGCTTACAATATAATATAAAATCATATAAACAGCTGCAAATCTAGATAGAGGTGAGGTTGAAACATATGAAATTGATATTTGACTGGGGCATGCCAAAACCAGCAATTTCATATGGTTTAACCTAACTGTACAGGACATTTAGCCTCCACCCCTTAAAAGGGTTATATTAAACAGAATGACAATATCTATCCAAATGCTAACAGCAGTTTAGATTTTGAGCTTGTATTTTCTTTCTTTCTTTCTTTCTTTTTTTTTGAGACGGAGTCTCACACTGTCACCGGGCTGCAGTGCAATGGCGCGATCTCGGCTCACTGCAACCTCTGCCTTCCAGGTTCAAGCAGTTCTCCTGCCTCAGCCTCCTGAGTAGCTAGGATTACAAGCGTCTGCCACCATGCCGGGCTAGTGTTTTGTATTTTTAGTAGAGGTGGGGTTTCAGTATGTTGGCCAGGCTGGTTGTGAACGCCTGAGCTCGTGATCCACCCGCCTCGGCCTCCCAAAGTGCTGGGATTACAGGTGTGAGCAGCTGTACCCGGCAGAGCTTGTACTTTTTTATACTGTATCTTCCAATATCCCCCAATGAAATATTTTTGAAATCAAAAAACATAACTGACATTTATAAAATGTCCCCAGAGGCATCTCTCCAGGTTGGAATGCCGGCTTCCCACATCACTCTGAAGGCTGTAAAATGTCTCTGGAGTGGACTCCTTGACACTTTGGCCAGCCAGGGCGAAGGGACAGTGGGCTAAGGGCTCCAGCCAGGGACCGTGGCCCACACTGAGACGGGGCTGTCTTGCCATTGAGGTTGGCTTAGGGACACACTGGGACTCTGATAGCTAGGACTTTGGTGGTGAGGCCTGGCCTGGCCTCTCAGCGGTCTCCCCCAAGGCACATATGCCCCTCCCTGTCTGGCCTGCAGGAGCTGGGGGTCTCTTTTGGGGAGTGCAGCGCTGCCTTGGGTCACAACATCCTGGAGCCCATGGTACACCTGGCCAGGTGAGTGCTGCCCGCCCTCCACCCCCTGCAGAACCTGCTGGGACAGCTCCAGCTCCACTCCCGACTCCCAGGCAGGAAGGGGAGGCCCATCCTGAGGAAGTGGGTCAGGGAAGCACCTAGCTAAAAAGACCAGGACTCACTGGTCTGAGGAGGGGGAGAGAGCACTGCACTGAGAGTCTCCCGACTCCAGCTCCGCCATTCCCACTCACTGCATCACTCCCCGCGGGCACCAATGCCTCGAAACCTCAGCTTTCTCGCTTGCAAATAGGCTGAGAAGTGTCTCTCTTCTGCTCCAACCTTCTAGTAGCTTCCATGGATTTAGAATAAAATCCAAATGCTTCAGAATGGCCTGCAGTGTCTCCAGTGCCATCTGCCCCACCCCTACACACACACATGCACGCACGCATGCACGCACACACACACAGTCTCACACACTCTCATAACTCCCCACACACTCACATACATACACACACAGTCTCACACACATACACTGATGCATACACACACACACTCCCACATACAGTCACACCCACACACCCACACACATACACCCACACACATACTCCCACACATACACACACCCATACACGTTCACACTCATACACTCATACACACATACATTCATAGACTCATACACACTGATAAACACAGACACACTAACACACACTCATATACACACACTCTCATATACACTCACACTCATACACACACACATATACACTCACACACACCCACATTCACACACACATGCACACACATACACACTAAGTTCCAGCCACTCACAGACCCCCTCCCTGATCACCTATCTCCCACCACTATTTTGGGTCACAGCCCCCGTTTGTGTCTTCATGGCCCTTCTCAGCACGACAACATGTATCCTATTAACGATATATGCATTTATCCGCTTTCTTGTCCGGGAAGTCAGGGCGATGTCTGTTTTGTTCAGCCCCTCCCCATACCTGGGGCCTAGGTGCTCCATAAATGAATGAAATGAGTCAGGGACGAGGGGCGCTAGAGCAGACGAGCTCCCTCTGGCACACAGTAAATACATCGTGAAGAAATGAACAGCCTTCTTTTGCTTCCCCGGCCCCCAAGCTCTCTCTTGGCACTGAGCCATAGCTCTCTGCCCAGGATGCAACCCCCCCACAACCCTTTCTGCTGGCAAACCTTGTCCATGGCTCAGGTCTCAGCTCAGACACCATCCCCTTCCTCCCCAGATCCCTCCAGGACCTGGTGCAAAGTCCCCGTGTGTCTCGCCATCATTCCTGGGTTGCAGTCACCCTTTTTCCTGTCTGTCTGTCTCTCACTACTCAAGGGAAGGAATGGTGGCTTCTGTGTCATAGTCAGAGTCTTGCACAGGGCTTGGCACACAGTAGGCCAGAAAGAGAAGGTCAAAGTCTCCGTGACTCAATTCTTCTGGTCTCACGTGGAGTCCAGGGTGGAGGCAGAACTGCTGTGGGGGTTGAGGGTGTAGCCTCCAAGCCCCAAGCTGCACCCGTGGGCCCTTCCATCCTGCCCCTGGCAGATGAGGGGGAGTACTGATGCCTGGCCACTGTCACGTAGGTCACTCAGGATGCAAGAAGACGGCCTGAAGGGCTCGCTGGTGGAGGTGGCCCCCAAGAGGCCACCCAAGAGATCTGGCTGTTGCTCCTGATCGCCTGTCCTGTCCCGGGTAGGATGGACACCCCCGGGGTTTCCTGTCCCTCAGCTCCTGTCCTGCCTTCCTGGACAGCAACGACAGAAAGGACCGGCTTGGAAGTTCAGGAAAACCCTTCTCAAATCAGGACTCCGATCCCGGGGCCGCATCGCCTCTGCCCTTCACGCTCCAAAAGAGGGGGATTTGCTGTGAACAAGGCGTGGGGGGCGGGGTACGGCAAAACTCTCCAAAGAAAGGAAAAGTCTAGAAAAACAGCTTAAAGAAAATACACCAAAATATTGAGCACACATCTGTGGGTGATAAAATTATAGGGTGAATGTGGGGGTGTTATTTTCCGTTTTACACATAGTTGTATTTTTAGAGTTTCAACAATAACTGGGCATTCATTACATAATCCGAAAAAAGAGAAGTTGAGAAGGAGGAGAGAAACTTTCCAAGGAGCTCCCTTGGGTGCTGCTGGCTCCTAATTGGTGTAACCTGTTAATCACAAATTGCTCGGTGTTAGAGCAGTCCCTGTGTGCTCAGCCCGGCAGGGTGCTGTTAACCTGGTCTCACGGGCTTTCTTCCCAGCAGAAGCCGGTTCCTGGGAAGAGTAATGTTTCGAAGGCCCCTGCTATGCCCCGATGCCCTCCTGTCTTCCAGAGCTCCAGCCTCACTCCCTTTCCCCATGATCTCCCAGGGGTCACATTCAGGGGTCCTGCCCCCTGCCCTAATGCCATCGTGTCCCCAAGCACAGGACTTTACCCTCAGTTATCAGTCTCTGGATGCATTTGAGGGTCAGCTAGAGTGTGGCTGGGGGCTCCAAGCAGCTGGGGAACCTAGACTCAGAATCATTCACACGTTCCTCTTTGGAGCTTTTGCAGAAGTTTCCAGAATTCCATAATAGTCACCTTCTGAATGGTGAGTACACCTTATCAGCTAGGCTGGGGTTTCCAGTGCCCTCAGGGAGCTTGCCTTAGAGTCTTAGAGAGACTGCCGACCCATTGTCCATGGTCTGTTTGTATGTGTGTCACATCTTCCCATCACCACGAATTGAATGCACAGCATGTGCCAGGTGCTGAGTTTGTCTGTCTGTTTCTTGAGACAGGGTCTCTCCGCTGCCCAGGCTGGAGTGCACTGGCATGATCGCTGTCCACTGCAGCCTCACTGTCTGGGCTCAAGCGATCCTCCCACCTCAGTCTCCCAAGTAGCTGGGACCACAGGCACACGCCACCACACCTGGCTAATTTTTTAATTATTTGCAAAGACAAGGTCTTGCTATGTTGCCTAGGCTGGTCTCAAACTCCTGGGCTCAAGAGATACTCCCTCCTTAGCTTCCCAAAGTACTGGGATGACAGGTGTGAGCCACTGTGCCCAGTCTGTTTGGTATTTTGTAATCTTTCAGGTACTGGGGAATTTCCTGGCTGAATCAACAGAAACCCCTGTTTCAGAGAGAGACAAGCAAAGACAGTTCAAGGAATAGAGTTACAGAGAGAGAGAGAACGAAGGAGAAAGAGGAAGTAACAGAGGGCTGTTGAATCACACAGTCTTAGGACCTGGCCCCAATCCCTCTTCTCAGTTCTGCAAGGAATGCCTCAGCAGCAGTGAGCCTTCCATCACCAGAGGCACACAAGCAGAAGCCAGGTGACGCCTGGCAAAAGATGAGGAAGAGGATCCTAGCATCCGAAGCCACCAAGGTTGGATTAAATGCCCTCAATGGACCCCATCCAACCTCCAGACTCCATGTGGATGATTCCCATGGTCCAGCTGATCTTTTTTTTTGAGACAGAGCCTTGCTCTGTTGTCCAGGCTGGAGTACAATGGTGCGATCTCAGCTCACTGCAACCTCCACCTCCCAGGTTCAAGCGATTCTCCTGCCTCCGCCTCCTGAGTAGTGGAGATTACAGGCACACGCCACCATGCCCAGCTAATTTCTGTATTTTTAGTAGAGACGGGATTTCACCACGTTGGTCAGGCTGACCTCGTGATCCACATGCCTCAGTCTCCCAAAGTGCTGGGATTACAGGCGTGGGCCGCCACACCTGGCCTGGTCCAGCTGATTCTTTTACTGGGCCCTTCGCCGATCCTTTTTTACCCTAACATCTCCCGTCTCGGGCCCTCTCCCGTAGCCCACAGTCTTGCCCCTGAACTGAGCAGTTTTTGGGCTGTGGTGTGCTCAGAGAGAGAGAGAGAGGGGTGTGGGTTGGAGTGAGTGATGCTGGCCCTGGGGTGAGGATGGGAAACAGGTCCTGAAGCTGCTAATGGCTCTTTCTCTGGGGCAAGCACCAACATCTCTGTCCTGTGGGCTGGGGAGTTACTAAGGCGGGTAGGCAGGGTGTGGTTCCTGGGAGAGGCAGTCCAGCAGACATAAGACATAGCCCCTGTCCTTTGGGGGCCCAGTACCGGAGCAGCCCCCAGGCCTCCCCGTCTCATCGGTTCTGCTCTGGCCTCAGGCAGCTCAGGCTCCCAGGAGATGGAGTTCTGGGAGAGACTCCACACTGCCCAGAACCCCCTCTCGGCTTTCTCGGGTTGGACCCATCTGCTGGGCAGGGCACAGCTGTTCGAGGACCACCAGCCTTTCCCACTGCCAGAGGGCTCACAAGCCGGGGAACAGAACCCAGGAACCTCAGAGCAGCACAAAGCAGGCAATGACAGCAGCAGGAGGAACTCCAGGTAGACTTCAGAGTGAACTTCCAGGCAAGTGGTGAGTTCTGGGGGCATGTCAGCCAATGGGGCTCTGGCTTAGGCTTGGCCAGAGTCTGATTAAGAAAAGGAGCCACCCTTAAAAAAAGGAGTGGGCTGATGAGACTCGGGTTGTGGAATGAGAAGGGATGGCAGGGGGATAGAATGAAGGTTGGGCAGGAGCTCTAAGAAAAGAGCGCTTGCTGGGACTGAGGGTGATCAGGGCAGAATGACAGCCCTTCTTTACCCAGTGCCTACTGTGTGCCAGGCACCGTTCTGAGCACTTAGCTCGTGTTACTTTATTTAGTCCTCACACCATCGGGCATGTTCTCCCCATCTTACAGAAGAGGAAAGTACTGCATAGAGAGGCTGAGTAGCTTGTCCACAGTCCTGTAGCGAGTAAGTGCTGGAGCCGGTGTTAAACCCAAGCTCCCAATACCCACAGACTTAACCCTGAAGTTATGCAACTGCTTACAGGAAGATGTGGATGCTTCAGGGAATCAGGGGCAGGGACCAGGTCCCTCAAGCCTCATATTGCTCCCTGCCAATTCCTCTCCAGTAACAGTCCACATCATTGGTGGGTGGGGACCAGGAAAAAGAGACGAAAAGGCAGTGACAAATGCCAGGAAAGTGGCTGGATGACAGCTTTCATCCAGGGCAGCTGGGGTGTTTGGACAGGCCCTTCATTTCCCCTCTTCCTGCAGTCCCTGGAGCTGGTGGGACCGGAAGGGTGGCCAGCATCAGAATTCACAGCGGCCCCCTCTCCAGTTGCTCCTCAGCTGCCCTCAGGCACGCTGCTGCCCTGGGACCCCAGAGACCAAGCTAAGTCCCCCAGGCTGGGGCTCTGCAGGAGGGACTCAGACACTCCTTCAAAGCTGGCTTTGAGCCTGCAGGAGAAAGGTGTCTTCAGCCCCCACCGCAGTGTGGGAGAAAAGTGGGGGATAACTCCAACGAGAACTCCTCTGCTGTGTCTTGTTTGCTGCTGGATTCCCGGAATCTGGTCCAAAGTAAATGCTCAGGAAATATGTACTCAGTTGGCAGGCAAGCCTCTCTCCAGCTAAAGCTCTGGGGCCCTGGCCTGGCCTGCGGGGTGGCCAAGGGTGACGTCAGCCACTGGGCTGACTCTAGAATGTCTACATCCCATCTTCCAGCCAGAGTCCTCCCAATCAGACTCTTCGGAGGACTCTGACCTTGACCTGTGCGACAGAGTGGGGATGAGGAGAAAGATCTGACTGCTGGGTGCAGACTCCCCCGACCCTGCCAGGGGCCTGCACAGCACAACCTGGAAGGCAGTGACTCCCAAGCTGGTCTGCTCTTCGAATTATCTGGGATCTTTCCTTTAAAAAAATTTTTTTTTTTCTTTTGAGATGGAATCTCACTCTGTGGCCAGGCTGGAGTATGGTAGCACACTCTCGACTCACTGCAATCTCCGCCCCCGGGTTCAAGCGATTCTCTTGCTTCAGCCCCCCGAGTAGCTGGGACTACAGGTGCGCGCCACCACACCCAGCTAATTTTTGTATTTTTAGTAGAGACGGGGTTTAAGTATGTTGACTGTAATCATCTTGATCTCTTGACCTCATGATCTGCCTGCCTTGGCCTCCCAAAGAGCTGGGATTACAGGCCTGGGCCACCGCACCCAGCTTATCTGGGATCTTTCAAAAATGCCAAAGCCCAGACCAACTGCATCGTGTCTCTGGGGGTGGGACTCAGGCTTCCGTATTTGTGAAACTCCCCAGGTGGTCCCAAGAAGCTTGGGACCCACTGGGAGGGGCTTGACACCTTCTCAAAGCCCTTTCAGACCCACTTTCCCATTTGAACCTCACATTAAACCTGCTTGTTTCACAGGGTAGGGTTTTGTCAAAAACTAGATACACATGTGTGTATGTACACATAAATTTATCAGATTATGAAAGCAATGTGTACTCCCTGCAGAAATTTTAGAAATAAATTTTTAAAAAGAAAATGAAAATTACCCAAGTCTTACCACGTATGACAGTTACTATTGACGTCTGTTTTATTTCTTTTATTTCCTTGCTTTCTTACAGCTGAGGAAATTGAGGTAGAGAAACATTAAGTAACTCTCCCAGGAGCCAGATGCAGTGAGTCACGCCTGTAATCCCAGCACTTTGGGAGGCCGAGGCATGAGAATTGCTTGAACCCGGGAGGTGGAGGTTGCAGTGAGTCAAGATCACGCCCTAGCCTGGGTGATAGACTGAGACTCCATCTCTAAATAAACAAATAAATAAATAGCTCTCCCAGGGTACTGAAGCTAACAAGTAGCAGAGGATTTGAACCCAGGGTACGGATGGAGGCCGTGCCCTGGGTTCAAATGAGGTCTGCAGGGACTAGTGTGTGCCGAAGACAGGCATGCATCTGGGCCCACTACATGCAGGGGTCTGTGAAAACAGGAGGCTCAGCAGGAACGGGGAAGGTGGCCTTTAGTGCTGGCTGGTTTCTACTTTGCCCTTGTGTATCTGAAACAGGAGAATGCAGCCAAATGCCGCGTTCATCACCCAGCTCACGGCCACACCCGAGTGACTGCTCCGACTCATCTTTGCTGGGGACTGTGGCCTTGTCCTGCTGGTGGGGCTGGCAGCTAATGGGCTCATGATGCTGGTGGTGGGCCGGGGCCCGGGCACCCTCCACCCGCTCCACACCCTGACCCACAGCCTCATGATGCACATCGCACTATCTGACCTGCTCTTCACGGCCTGTGTGGTGCCCGCGCTGCTGCTGAGCTTCCTGCAGCACAACTGGTGGCTGGGCCCTGCCATCTGCACCATTAGCCAGGCCACCAACATAGCCACCATGTTCTGCACCTTCTACAGCATGGTGGCCATGGCTCTTCTGTGCCACATGGCTGTGGCCTTGCCTGACGTGGCCTTCCCAGCTGGCTGGGGCACCCGCTTGCTGTTCTGTGGAGCCCTGTGGGCCATGGGCCTTACTGAATCCCTGCCCAACTATCTGTTCTAGTGGGTGGCAGTGGAGGAGGAGACAGTGGGAGCTCCTGAGACCTGGGCCTGCCTCTTGCTCCTGAGCCCTGCTGGGACCTCCTGCTACTTCAGCCTGCTGGGAGCCCTGGCCTTCCTGCCATGCATGCTGGGGCTGGGCGGCTCCTTCAGCCACGTGGGCTGGCTCCTGTGGACACAGCCCCGAGGCCCTGTCAGGGAGAGCGTCCAGGAGCACCAGGAGAACACAGGGCTCATCCTTGCAGTGCGGGTGGTTTTTGAGCTGATGTGGGGGCCCTGCTCTGTGCTGGGCTATGTGGCAGCCATGGACCACCTGCCTGCCTCACCAGCGGCCTTTGTGGCCTCCAGCCTCTGCACCATCCTGGCCTACTCCAATTGCACTGTCAGCCCTATGTTCTGCTTCTACCTCTCCTGCCCCTTCCGGGCACGACTCAGGGACCTCTTCTGCAGGCTGATGATGGCCAGGCATCCCAGAGGTGTGGGAGCGGTGGCCTCAGTGATGGCGACTGTCCAGCCTGGCCATGACAGGGCCCCAGGGGGCCTGTGGGGCCTGGCGGGGATGGGTGGTGTCTAAGAGTATAGGCTAATAGAGGGGCTGAGATTCAAGGGAGATGAGAAGGCTCTTAGGGACCTGAGAGCCCACCCCCTCTATTTTAGCAGTGGAGAGACTGAGACCCAGAGGGCAGATGGCCCAACCAAGGTCACAAAGCAACGAAATGGCTCAGCTAGAGCTCACATCTCTAGGTAACCGGGGGGATCTTCCCGCTCCACCTTCAGGCTCAGATACCTGTAGGCTCCACTGCTCTCTAATTGTGTGATCTTGAGCAAGGAAGGTGCTTATGCGCTGTGTCTCAGTGTACTCATCTGGAAAATGGGATGAGGAGAGATGTACATAGCTTTCTCGCAGGGTTGTTATGAAGATGAATTTGCTAAACACATGTAAAGTGCTTAGCAGAATGCTTAGTAAGTGCATATACGTGCTGGTCATTGCTACTATTATTATTTTTATTCAGGGGCATTTGAGGTGAGTGGAGAAGAGGAGGGCAGAGGGGCTTTTCTTCCCCCCAGAGCCCAATAAAGGTCCCATCTTTCCCACCCCCATGCCCTCCCTCTGGCCTGCTCAGGGAAGGCCTCAGGCTTCTGTGTTGGCCTGGAAACCTGGGAGATTGTCTCTACTGAAATTCCCAAGACAGTTTGGTGTGTGTTTTGCTTGGTGATGTGTTTTGTTGGTGATGGTGTTACCAGCGACAAACAGACACACACACACACACACACACACACAGACACACACACACACCGTCCTACTCTGCGGTACAAAGCTTAAGAAACATTGGGTTGAACCAAATCAAACTGGTCTCTTTGCCATAGGACTTATCAGAGCCTTGAATACGCAAAAGGCCACTGAGACTCTCGGAGAGGGGCTCACGGCAGGCGGGTTCCCTAACTCCATGCCAGGGAAGCAGCGATCTGTGGCACACACCTTGGGAAAGAACCGCGAGAGATGCAGCAGTGTCGGGCATGGGAAAGATGCTCTTGGCGTCCCGTCCCGCCCCTGGCAGTGGCTCTGCGCCTCAGTCCCCCTGCCAGGCAGGCACCCTCTCCTGACACTTTCCCACGGCGCCTGTGGTGAGGTGACAGGAGCGGCCAGTTATGGGAACTTCCCTCCTTCCAAGCTGTGACCCCACCCTGTTCCCACTCAAAGCGTATCAGAATGTAAGTCACAGGGGCATGTAATTATAGGGACAGCCGTGAATCAGCACCCATTTACTACAAAATCATCAGGAGGAGACAGGTCCCAAACTTCAGTCTAATTAGTTCTAAATTTCATGTGATGTCCAGAGTGGGAATGGCCGCCTGGAGGGCTAATCTGGGAACACACCTACCCGGAGAAGGGAGGAATCCCCTTTTGCTATGATCCTGGTCCCTGAGGGCCACAGGGATTTATATGTGAAGAGGGAGAAGAGGAAAGCAGTGTTTCTTGGGCACCTACAATGCAGTGGGTCCTGGGTGTATGTCACATCCGTCACGTGCAACCATCTGTACTCATCACTCTGGCCAAGCGATGACCCTGCAAGGGCAGGGGTGGTGGTGACGACCCCATTGCGCAGGGGCTGCAGGACTCCTCATGGCACAGTTACTCTGGTGGCCACAGGTCACTCAGTCCCTCCCGATGGCGTGGCATCAGTGCCCCATTGTTGCAGGCTTTCCTCACTCACTGCCCCTGAGCAGGGGCACCCCTGAGAGTGCAGTTCTGTGTGTGTGTCTCCAGCCTCGTCTCCGATACCCGAGTGGGGCCTGGCACTGATGTTTGGTGAATACTTGTTGGGGGATGAGTGAACGAGTGATCAAATGCAATAAAGCAATCCATTTATTTTAGAGGAGATTCTGATGATGTCTCTCACCTCCTCAATGGCTTCTCATTTTACTCAGTAAATGCCAAAGGCCTGGATTCTGGCTTCTTCACTCTCCAACCCTATCTCTAGCACTCTCCCTTCCTGCCCTCAGCTCCAGCCACACCGGCCTCGCTCTCCTGCAAACACACCGTTGGGCATTCTCCTACCACAGGGCCTTTGCACCTGCTGGTCCCTCTACTTAGAGCCCCTTCCCCCAGATATCAGCGGGGCTCCCTGTCTCACTTCCTGGGGGTTCACCTCAACCATGACCTCCTCAGAGAGGCCCTCTCCCACCACCTTATCTAAAACGTCACCCTCCTTCTCCCTCATGTCTCTCTCTCTCTCTCTTTTTTTTTTTTGAGATAGTTTTGCTCTGTCACCAGGCCAGAGTGCAGTGGCATGATCTCAGCTCACTGCAATCTCTGCCTCCAGGGTTCAAGCTATTCTCCTGCCTCAGCCTCCTGAGTAGCTGGGACTACAGATGTCTCCCACCAAGCCTGGCTAATTTTTCTATTTTTAATAGAGACAGGGATTCACCATGCTGGTCAGGATGTCTGGATCTCTCGACCTCATGATCCAGCCGCCTCAGCCTCCCAAAGTGCTGGGATTACAGGCGTGAGCCACCGCGCCCAGCCCAATGTCTCTTTAGAACTCTTGCCGCCACCTGAAATTATGTGATTAGCCGCCTTGTTTGTATGTTCACTGTGTTTCTCCCACATTATTTATGTGTGTGTTGTAAGCCCCATGCGGGGACAGGGCCTGTGTTTTGTTCACAGTGGCATCCTCCATGCTTAGCACAGAGTGTGGCACGTGGCCTTTGCTTGTAAATCCCACTGAACCGCAGAATTGAAGGAAGCCGCAGAGGAGAACCCAGACCCCGTCTAACAGCAGCATCTGTGCTGTTTTTCAGAGAAGAAAGAAACACATTGTGCTTTACTAAAAGAACCAAATTTGCTTTAGTTTAAGGCAAATTCCACACAGAGACTGTCTCAGAGACGGGCACAGAACCAGACACCACAGGAACACCACCACCATGCGCGACAGGGGAAAGCGGAGGCAGGCGGAAGACGGGGGCCTCGTCTCCACCGGGCGCGGAGAGGGCAGAGGGCTGAGGAGCTCCATGCGGCAACGGGGACTGGCATGCATGACCTGCTGCCCGAGTGGGCAAAGGCTGGGCGGCTGGGTGGGCCCAGGAGGGAGAGCCCCTTCTTCCCCACCTTTCCCACAGCAGGGGCAGGAACTTGGGCCCAGATGCCAGAGCCCAAGGCTGAAGGACTAGGGTGCATTTGAGGTGATGGGATGGAACAGGGTGACTCAAAAGCCAAGGTGGCCTCGGGTAAAGGGTTGCATCGGTTAGGAGTGGGATGGGGGGACGTGGGCATGGGATGAATGACCCTCAGGATATCAGACCTAAAAGAAAACCTGGGGCCATCTGGTCAATCCTCTTGTTATACAGACATGGAAACTGAGGCCCAAAAGGTAGAAGGGCCTTGCTTGGGTTCCCACATTAGGCAGTTGAGGGAGGCAGGGCTCCAACCCGGGACTGTTGTCTCCTAGCCTCATGGGATAGCCTCACGAGACAGGACTCCTGTCTCACTACCCTCATAGTGAGCCACTCCTTGCCCAGGCCTCCAGGTGGGCAGAAGTGTGGGCACCGAGGGCCCTGGGAAGCCTCTGCAGGGAGGAGGGGACTCCTGAAGCCAGGAGTCAACCATGGAAGTGCCTGTGGGCCCACACCAGGGAGCGGCCTGTGGATCTGTGTGTCTAGAACTTGCATCGTACTGAGCTCGAGAGGCACCAGAAAGGGCTTTGTGCTGAGCAGCCTCCACTTCAGCCTCATCACGTGGCCTATGGCCCATGACTACAGCACCCCATGGGTCCCTAGGGCTCCTGATGCATCCAGTGTCCCTGGGAGGGGGCACATGTTCAGGCCTTCCTGCAAACCCGTCATTAGCCTCCTGGGGTTTGCTGGAAATCGGGCAAAGGTAGACCACAGGGCAGGGGTCAGGGATTGGAGGAGACGCCAGGGGAGGATGGGATGTAGATGGGGCCGCTGGAGGAGGCCGAGCCCAGGCTTCAGGGTGACAGGTAAGCAAATAGGATGGCCAGGGGTGGGTGACGGGGACCCCAATCACACTGATTGTTTACATCTTCCTGGCTGGGCTAGAGCCAGGTACTGGGGAAGAAGAGAAGAGCTGGGTCCCTGAACCCTGTGGACCCTCTGTCACCCATACCCAGCAATTCCCTGGGTTTGGGCAGTAAGTGAGGCCAGGAAAGTGAGGAGGGGTCTCCAGAAGCCCCACCCCCTGGCAGTCTCCCAGGCACACAGATGTCCCAAAGGCCGGGCAGGCCCACTGCGGGGAGTCTGGGGGCCAGGCCTCCTGTTGGCCTGGTCTCTCACAGTCCCCAGCCACCTGCCTGCTGAGACCAGGTTCAGATGTGCGTGTGCAGAGGGGAAGCAGGGGGCGTGCGGGCTGGGGACTGTGTGGGCGAGTGGGTTGGTGCGGCGGGTGGGGGGCGAGGGCGGATGCCCTGTGCCTTCATGTAGGACACCAGCTGGTCGGGGATCTCCGCCAGCACGTCTCGGGCCAGGCGGGCCATGCTCAGCACGTGGTTGCCTGTGCGGTCCACGTAGTCCCGGAAGGGCACGAACTGGCAATCGGGAGGGCAGGGTCAGGCAGTGCCTCCTGCGGGACCCTGGCCCCTAAAATCTCCAGGCCTGGGGTTGCATTCCCACTCTCGTCCCAGCCTCTGCTCACTTCACTCAATCCCCCAGGTTTGTGAATTACACGAGGGACTGTATCCCCAGCTCCCTGCCTTTGGGAGTAAGTGACTGTAGTCATAGTCACTATTCTTTCGTTCACTCGACAAATACTGAGCCCTGTTCCGCGCCAGGACACGCCACCGAGCAAGATCCCTCCACCTCAGCACTAAGCACAGGCAGCAGCAGCTGCTTCCGAAACGCCAGCTGAATCCCCTGACTTCCGAGGCACGTGCCTCCTGGGTCTCCTCCCACCTGTCCAGCAGCGCCCTCTCTCGCTGGCCTCTCTTCATCCCTTTTCTCTCTGGGGCTCATCTGGCCAACACCTAATGCCAGGCCCACCTGGCTTCTTCCCAGCGGGCGCCCTCCGTCCTGAGTGCCTCCGGTTCACCCCTGCCTCCAGACCTTGGCACGGGCCAG